CTCTCACTCTCTCTGATCTGCTTCTCAACCTTTCCTCAGCCTGCCACTCTTCTTGCTTGAATCTGCTGCTTTGCCCCCTGATTCTGGATCTGTTTTCCCACCCTATGCCTGATCGGTCCTGTGCTACAAAAAAGCGGCTGCACATGAGCCCTGGGTTGGCCACCCCTGTCTTACACCAACTAAAATTAAACTACACTGGCATTTCATCTTTAGTAAAGTAAAATCTTTTTGTAAGACTTAACAATAAGCAGAGGTGACAGGCTAGGGTCAAGTTGCATGCTGATTGGTACTACATCTGTTTCAACTTTATGATAAAAGCAACTTTTAAGAAGCAAACATTTTACAGGAGGTTTTTGTAAATGGGATTTTCCTGCTGCTTCCCCACTTTCTTCACAATGAAGCAGACCAGAAATTTCAAGATTTCCAATTTCAGAAGGGAAATTCCAGATAACACTAATACGAAGGGGAATAAGAGACCTGGTACAGAAAAGCAGCATAAATAGAAGCAATGTGGGACATGTCTAAGCTTTTACAGAGAAACAAAATGGAACTGGGAAACTTAGCTTATCTATTCTGCCTCCCACAGATTTCACAACAAAGGCTAACATACTGCATCCTAACTTTCTACAGCAGACCAGAAAACGCTGCAGTTATAGCCTTTTAAAATAAATGTTCAAGAATAACTAAAAAATTTGTTCTTGTTTTTCAAGATAATGGTACAGCCACTGAAGAATTAGAAGCAGGAATTCTTAATGTTAATATTAAAATTTCTTACAAGATCAAAGTTGCTGCTCCAACAATGACATACTTAAATGCCTGAACTCTTGTCTTCCAAGAATATCAGACAGAAATCACTTCCATTTTTTTCTAAACCTTGTCAGTTACTGATTTGCACAGCAAAAGTGCTGACATTAAATAACTATCTTTTATGTTCAGCTCATGAAACCCACTGGGTTCTCAAAATTTAAACCTAGATTTCCCCAACCCCTCCTCTTTTTTTGCGTTGCCACCCAGGTAAAGGTTAGCATTTCCCTCCTGTATACCTGCACAAATTAGTTTTTCATTGAGACTTTTAATGCCATTCCACTTGCAAGGCTAATTATACCTGCATTGTCTTTTTATTTCTTCTAGAGATTGCAAATAACCTTCTTCTGTGGATATTTAGTTTGTAGTGTTGATGGTCAGAAGTAGCATTCTATTAATTGTCCAGTGTATGAAATGTACAGAGAGCAAAATTGTGGTAAATGTGCTTCCATTCTCAAGAAATACTGCTTCTAGTCTGGGTTTAATAAGCTTTATTAAATACTGTTATGAAGACAATAAAGTTCTGTTTTATGTACTGGAAGCTAATGGTTGAATTGGCCTGTTTCTAATAAAATATGTAAGGATTTATTTGGACCTTCTAACCAGTTCTGGCACAATGTAAATACTTGTAAGAAAGGCCACTGAAAGCAGAATAGCAGCATTAGTTAACACCCTTCTGTTAGATCAGCATTTTTTTTTTTTTTCAACCTGTGGGTTGCAACCCAAAAGTGGGTCATGAGAATATATGAAAGGGTCATGAACAAATTTTAAAAATGGATTCTCCATTAAAGGAGAAAAACATGGGAAACAGTGGCTTTTCCCTTGCAGGGTGTCAGGAGTTCTGTTATAGCTGAGATCAAGGCCCCTGCGGTGAGGGAAGGAATGGGGCAGGCATTGACCAGCCAGGGCAAAAGGGTGCAGGACAGAGCTGCAGGTGGCTTGTCAGAAGGTGGGGGAGCACATTGTGTGCCCCCCCCCCCAGGATCTGTACAGTGCAGGGTAGGCTGGAGTGGGCACAGGACAAGTGTGGCTGCCTTGGCCCCAGCTGGGCATCCCCAACCCCACACCTTCCCTCACCATGGGGGCGTTGATCTGCCCCCCCCCCCTTCCCCTCTACCCATCCACCACACCGGACTTACCAGCTGCAGGCAGCATTCCATGCTTCTGGGCTCTGCTCCTCCGTGCCTATGTGCTGCAGTGTGGCTCTGCACATGTGCAGGCTTTTATCGGCCAAATCAGGCCAATTTCCAATACAGAAAATGTTCTTTATATTGGTGCCAATCTGATATCGGACCAATGTATTGGTGCACCTGTATTACAAATGGGTCCTGGTACAAAAAAGATTGAGAAACACTGTGTTAGATCACCTTAAACTTATTTTGAGTGCCCTTAAATTCCATAACTTTGGTAGTGACTAGAGGTGATTTTTGTCTGTTTATAGTTGAGATCTGTGAAAGTCATGCAAGGCAGGAAGAATTGTTAGTCCCAGCTCTGCTTTAGCCTCAGACTTCTGCTTGCCTTCTAAGCAATTTATTGATCAGATCATTGCACCAGAATACATTGCTGTTTCTAAAGTCATGAGAGAATGTTTTATGTATTAAGAATAATGAAGGCTCTGTAGTGTAAGCTATTCTATAGTTCATTTCTAGACCCCATGATTTACTTAGTTAAACTAAAGTGTGAGAGAATATGCTTGAGCTAAACTTTAGCTATCACTCTTTAAAATAACAGTAAGTTCCAGTTTACGGTAACAAACTCAGTCCAAGTATTGACTATCTAGGATTTCGCCAGAATAATGTATTTGAAGGCTTTCAAATAATGGCTTTATAAGCAGGCACTAAAAAGCAACATTAGTTTGAAGGGAACAAAATAATATAGGCATTGACTTTAGAAGTATTGTATATGTGGAGTGGAAGCTTCTCTCACACAGCATAAATGCTGTGTGCACAGCCCCAAAGTAGGGTTTTGAAATGGGTGGATGGGAAGGTTCCTTCTGTGGGGCAGTTGAAGCCCCACCACTCAATTCCCTGCCTAGGACTGGGAGTAGTAGAGCAGCCTCTGATCCTGACACCTTTCCAAAACCAATATCTCATCCAGTTAAGGTGGGGCGAGGGGGCAGGTGCAGATGCAATGTCTGTACTTTTCCCTCTCCCAGAACAATTTTGTAGCAGTGGAAATCTCTCAAATTTCCACCCCTATAAACTAACACCTGTTCAATCCAAAAAAAAAAAAAAAAAACTCTCCA